AAAAAAAAAAAAGTCCTAGTGTCCTTCCTCTCTCCCCTCCCCCCATCCAATCTTGTTCTAACCCCCCGGCTCCCAGTTCTAATCTCCTTGCCAAACCAATCTGTCCCTCCCCTCTCAGCCTCCAGTCCCAGTTCATCACCACCCTTGGCAGGTCTGGCTGTTGCCAGATTCAAATGCAGAAGAGATAACAACCTCCTCTCCTCTTTCCAGGCGCAATGGGGGCTCATTGAGAACACAACAGAGAGAATCTGCATTCAGGTGCCTGGACCCAGCACAGCCTGCAACAGCTCAAAGCTGCAATTTCAGGGAAAGTCCTGCTTAACACTATACTGGAGTGCAGATAGACTTCTCAGGGAATTTAGTTGCCAACATTTAACTCTGTACTGAGCATGTGCAAACTGGGATTCTTTCAAAGGCGTATAATTTGGCCAAATTAGACCATGTTTGCAGAGGAACAGTAACAGGGACATCGCTGATGCACGGGGTACCCCCCCCAACCCCAAATTTCAAGTTCCAGCTCCAAAACATGGGGGCAGTAAAACTTTTGAAAGAAAAGCTCATCAGCATTTTTTAACATGGGCAAACCAATTATTTTTCCCTAGCCTTGTTCTCAAAAATGGCTGAACCATTTTAGCTGAAGATTTTTCCCAAAAAATTCAAGCTGAGGCAGACATTCAGCATGAAAAATTTAAGCCCAAACAAAGTTATAAGCAATTAAAAATGGGGTTTGATAGTAGAGAGTGTCAGGCAACCTTACCAGGCAGTGTTATCAACCCTGTCTATAATGATGATGACTACTGTAGAAAGGGCAGGTTGGTGGTTTCTGTTTTCCCTGTCTTAAAAGACACAAACGAGGGCATTCAATGAAATTGAAAGGTGGCAAATCCAAAACCAGTGCAAGGAAGTATTTGTTCACACACTGCATAATTAGACTGTAGAATTTACTGCCACTGGAAGTCATTGAGGCTGAACATCTTAGCAAGATTCAAAAAGAGATTAGACACTGATATGGCTAATAATATCCAGAGTTGTCATAGTTCTGTCAGATTTCTGTAGGGATATAAAAGCTCATGCTTCAGGGTTGAAGGAAATCTCTAGTGATTAGATCTAATATGGGGGGGCAGATTATCTCACATTTGCCTAATGGGAAGTTCCTTGCTCTTTCCTCCGAAGCATCTGGTGCTGGA